TCTCATTCGTTTACTGTATCTGTCCCTGCATGCTCTAAAAACTTTTATTCATCTAGTTTTTTTCCCCGCACTTCAATCCTTTGGAACTCTCTCCCATCTTCATGTTTTCCTGACTCATACAACCTTCAATTTTTAAGTCTTCTGTCAACCGTTTCCTTGCTCTATAACTCTGTTCTTTTTTTTTCCTAGTAACTCCCAACTTAATAGTGGTTGCTTGCAGCCTTGTTGGGAGTGAATGCAAATAAAAAAAAAAAAAAAAAAAATTTGCTTTTCTATGCAACCTCTCCAGCTACCAAAAAAAACAGTAGTAAATAAATCCATCCATCAATCGACAGACATTATTTATATAATTTTTTCTTTTAGTTTAATATTAAAGGAAGGTTTAAGTTATATAATTTTACACTCACAATATTGAATTTTATACATTGGATCAAAGTTAATCCATATTCGTTGAATCAACGTTGGTTTATATATATTGGATCAACGTTTTGTTTTGATCTTAAAAACTATTATCTTTTTTGATGGTTTTACAAAAGTTGGACTAATGTAATTGTTGTTTTTAGTTACAACTGTAAACAAATGACACTGGATCAACGTTAGATTTGCATCAGAAAAAAGCCGACGTATGTGATTGTTTTACATACGTTAGCCTAATGTATGTGTGCCACTTGGAATATATTTAGAATATTAACCATTAAATATTAAAAATATTAATGTTACATAATTGTTTGTATACACGCCGTGTTTACAATCATTATTTGTATTAACAATATTACAGTGTATACACCTTGTCTATGCACCACTATAAACACATTTTTACGGGTATGATGGAATGAAAGAGGAGTCTTAAAGCCAGTTCAGAACATTTAAAAATTCTAATATATGGTACTTAAAGTATGCTGAAAACAGTCGTCATTACAAGAACATGCAAAATTACAATGATTTTTTGGTTCAGCTTTGATCTTTGAAAATTTAAAGAATCTTTCGACCTCTCCAACCGCGTTTATGTGACACAGGTTACAGATATTCAGATATAAAAAAAGCAAAATATTTATCTTGCTTTTTTTATTGAAACAAAAATTTCTTGAGTATTTTTTATTAAAAACCCTGTACACAAAAACATAAATAAAACAATGAACAGGTTTGTAACGAGAAGTTACAAAGATTTTTATAGAGCAAATCGCCGGGGCGATTTGCTCTATAAAAATCGCTTCGCAATTTATCGCATCGCTATTTTTGCGGTTTTTTGCTATTTGTTGGACTTCCGCATCTTGTAGAAAATCTAGATCACAGACATCTTCCTCTTCATAAAATATTTTTTATCCTCATTTTTTCATTTATTAATAAATTTTTTTTTTTTTTTTTTGTTTGTTTGTTTGTTTTGTATTAATAAATGAAACAAAATCTCCTTACTTTTTTGAATTAGTAACTTGGATTTTTTTGCGATTTTTCTATTATTTGCGAGAATAACAATAAGCAAGGAGTTATTATAGCTTAGCTATTATACCTCCTTGCAATAAGTATAACATTTAATTGCTAAATTGAATTTCTAGAATTTATATAAATATAAATTTAAAGTACAAATTTAAAATCAGACTATTGGGATACAAGTATATGACGCCGTTTTTTACAGTTAAGGCGGATTTCCACTAACAAGAAATTTTCCGCGGAATGGAAAGGAAAAGAAAATCATCCAATCATGTAACAAAAAAATTTTAGATGCGCATTTTTTATGTTACATGATTGGATGATTTTCTTTTCCTGTCCGTTCCGCGGAAAACTTCCTGTATGTAGAAATTCGCCTTTAACACTTAACATTTTCTATGAAAGTTAAAACCTTTTAAAGAATTTATATAAATTAAAAAAAAAAAAGTTTAATATAAACTTGTTGATAATTTGGGTTGGGAGAAGCAGGTAAATATGTTCCTAAGCTCCAATCACAGCAACAATTTTTACAAAACATTCTAATTTGACTTTAGAATAAACATATTTGAGTTTAGAGTTTGCACAATTTCTAAAGATGTCATATCGTTGGTAAAAAGTCATTACCCCGTGTCTTGAAAAATCTGGCTTTTGGGTTACAATGCTTTTAAACTGTAATTTATAGTCTTCTGTTATAATGTGTAAAATATTTATGCTAACATGTATTGAACTTTAAATTTTTTGTAATTGTTTACAGTCATTGTTCAAATTTTTGCCATTCCTGAAAACCTCAATTTTTTGAGAAATGTGGTAACGACTTTTCATCAAAGATATCTAAAACTTTAGAAAACCCAGTTAGTCTTTTATTTGAATAAAATGTTCTTACTGTGCTCTGGTTAAGTCATTATATTTCATCCTGGTTAAGAAATTTTATTTCATCTTATAGATATAAAAGTTTTGACATTTGACCATGTTTAGAAGTTAAGCATTCAAAATCTAAAATCCACCTGTTAAAATGGCAAAATCTGGCTTGGTAAAAATTTAAAGATTTTAAAAAAGCGTAAAAGGATTTTGGTAC